TTTATTCTAGCAGGTTCTTGGTATTTACTTCGAAATCATGTTAGAAAAAAATGTTCATAAAGAGTGACTCTTGAATATGTTTTATTGCACAATTAATTGTTCTTTACCTTTTCGACTTAACAAGCCAGATATATTTAATTTTCGTTTTAATAAAGAAGGAAAATTTTCGAGGGGTAGGCATTTATATTTTTTTTGTACATTTAGTAAGTTTGCCGCTTCTGCAATAGTTAACTGTTTTGTTATCGCCAATTTTTGCAGCCCGATTCTTAGCAAAAATATATATATATACTTGTATATATATAAAAAAAAAAAGATTTCAAGGAGTGGTAAATAATTTCGTAAGTACTTCCTAATTGGTTTTGTTCAAAAATTATACAGCGATGCAGATATGAAGCCACTTTACTGCTTTGCCTAATTACCGCTCTGTTTGTCCGTTTTGGACTCTGTGCTGCCCAAAAGTCCATCCTTCTAATTGATTTGCGCGAACTTCGATGGGGAGGGGAACACATGCAGTTAACAACATTTTACGACCCGAATGCATATTTATGCAGTTGTTCGACGAGTTGTTCCCGTGTCGGCTTAACTTGTCCCAGCGCTCTAAAGAGAACACAGACTAGAGAACACACTTATACTCACGCAGACGTACACATAGACATACATATATCACCATTAATGGGCATTATGTGTGGGCAAGCGCGTTTACCATAACTGGCTAGGAAAATTACAAACAATGTTGCCACGCTTTGCGCTTTACAATTGAATTAGAGCCTGGCCCGCTGCACAACGGCAGCAGCAGCAGCAGCAGCAGTAGGAGAAGGAGCAGGAGCAGCGGCCCAGCAGGAGGGTACGCAAACAAAATGGATGCCTTACCGACCTTACCGGCCCCCTCCTCGCTAAACTGCCTCTGCTTAACAGGCAGTGGCAGTGCTGTGCAATTTGGCAGCCATTTAAGCGAGCGGCTTAGCAGTAAAATGAGCCCATTTGTTAACAGACCAGAGTGGTCTAATGGCAGCCCTTGTGAGTCTGTATACCTACACGTGTATGTGTGTTTGTGTGTGTGTGTGTGTGTGCTTGTGTTTGTGCTGAGCTACTATATTTAGCTACAAGTATGGAGGAGCATACGTGTGTACGTATATGGCTGCCTGATTGTTTACCTAAACTACTTTTTGCCTGTTCACTGAATTTAAATGACTCTGCGGTATTTAATTATAAACATTTCACATAAATAGTTGGCCAACCAAAGACGGTCGATGATAGGGCAACAATATACTTGTATGCATATACACGTACGTACGTACATGTACATGTATGTGCCTCTGCATTGGTGTGTGTGTGTGTGTGTCTGTCCTTTCACCTGAGTGGCCTGTTGGCGAGCTGTGCTCATATTTACTGCCTACTTGAGCTGAAGTGCCAATTACAGACGATGTTGTAATGATGTGCCACGCGATTTTGCACAGAAACAGCGCCACTAACAGCAACAACAACAACAACAGCAACAACATATACATATACATAGCATAGTAGTATAGCCACTGGCCAAATGCAATTGAACCGGGCGTTCATGTTTGTGTATCTCTTCAAGCGTCGTGTCTATATTAATGCCCTTTGGTGTACATGTAAACACAAGAGCCACCCCAAAACTGGGCAGGCAGTCTGCACTTGGACATTTGTGTCTGTGTGTGTGTGTGTGTGTGTGTGTGTGTACATAGCTCATAGGTTTTGATTACAAATGTCGCTGCAGCGTGTAATTAACGAATTGATTTTAGTAATGCATCGCCTGCAATCAATTTAAAATTATAGCTGCAAACAAAAAGGTGCCAACAGCAATAAATTCAAGTGTTTCATACATATAAATATATAAATGAGAATATGAAAATATGGGTATATATATAGTATAACTGAGCAAACAAAGTAGTCAATGTGTTCGCAATAAATTGTAAGCCACTGTGCGTTAATTGCGAAACTCATCATTGCAGCACTGGTAAGTAACTAAAGCCACGTTCGGACAGCCAAATAATTTCCACACAAATAAGTTAAACAAGAGAGAACGCTACAGTCGAGCAAGCCCGACAGTGTAATACCCTGTACCCAGGTAAACTTCTGTCACTGAGTTATATGCGCCCATAGCAGCAGCAAAAAGAGGAAGAAGACGAGCGAACTTGTTGCTGCAGTTTGGTGGGGTTGTTGGGGGCTGGCGAGAATTTGTTTCGCTAATAACTTTTCTTAGAATTGACAGAATAAATTGAATAAAATGTTGAACAACAGTAGACAATTATATATAAATTATGTGTGCAAAGTTTGGTTTAGGTAGCATTTGAAATGTGGACGCTATTGACGAAATTCTGTAGCGGGGGAAGGGGGGGAAAATTAAAAAAAAAAAATAAACTCGTCCTGTCTCGGACCTAGGAGAATCTGGATGCCAACTTTGGTTATTATAGCTTTTATAGTTTCTGAGATCCTCGCGTTCATCCAGACGGACAGACAGACGGACAGACGGACGGACAGACGGACGGACAGACGGACGGACATGTCTAGATCGATTTCTCTCGTCATGCTGATCAAGAATATATATACTTTATGGGGTCGGAGTTGCTTCCTTCTGTATGTTACATACTTTGCACAAACCTAATATACCCTTTTTACCCTACGGGTACAGGGTATAAAAATACAGTTACTTGTTAGTTATTCAATACAATTTTGTTTCTTTCAATTTACACATTTAGAAGAGATCATGTTATAAGTACTAAACTATACATACTCTTGGGAGTAACTTCATTTTACAAATTATTTGCTATTCTAATTCTATTTTTTTTTTACCTATATTAAAATATTTATGCCAGATCTGCTATAAATGTTGCCTATTATAAGTTTAACTGTTACCTGCAGGTATAGTTTCTATTCATATGGAAATGAAATGGTTCTTCTTCATATTAATAATTTGTATAGATAACAATATATTTTATTTAATTGAATTTTTATCCACAATTCATGCAGAAATATAGAACACGTGTGGTATATTTTCAGCCTTCAGTTTTATTGTTGCCTTTGCTTTTTAAATAAATATTCATTACAAAGTCATTCCTTTTTCCCTGGAGTTTTACAATACTGCTTCTAAAGAGTTGTTTATTTTTTCCACTTTTTCACAAAAGCTTTGAGAACCCCGTGGGCTTCAGAAAAAGGAAGATTTTCTCTAAAAATAAATATTATAAATAACATGCTAGCCGCTCTGATTTGATAAGAAAAAGTACTCCACTGAAAGGTTATTTTTCCTTCATTGCATGGCTTTTGTCTAGAGAAGCAAAATGAAAATAAAAATGAAATAAAGAGCAAGTGGACTTATAATGTGGAGCGCAGGGAAGAAGGCATTAAAGTACAGTGAGTGAGTGGGGAAAATAAAAATTCAAGTATTAGATATTTCTATGGTGGGCCATTAAACTGGTTTCCCCGCACACGCCACGATTCATTGATAAGAGCTCTGATATACACATAGACTTGGCAGGGGGGAGTGGGGGGGGGAGGAGGCGTGGAAAGAAGAAGAAGTAAATGGCAACATCATAACGCTTTGCTATATTCAATTACAAACGTTACTAATTATCAGGAGCGTTGCCTTTGCCTTTGCTTCTGCCATGGACACGGACGGGGGCCATCGTCTGTGAATTCGGCGCCAGCGTCAACAGCCTCATCAGTGTTGTGTTGTGTTGTGGAGGATGGAAGGATGGATGGAATGAAGGAAGGAAGGAAGGAGGGGCAGGCAGTTAATGAGATTTTGTGCCAAATGAGCTTACAAATGTATCGAAGCAAGAAACCAGTCTCGCACCCGAACTGTTGACCCCGACCCCAGCATCCCGACCGCACTACTACAAGTATAGAGAGCAGCTTCAGTTACAGTAACAGTTTCAAAGCGCTCTGCCATTCACAGTTAATGCAGTTAATTGAATTTGGATGCGATTTATGTTTCAAAATGCAATTTACTCGCTTTAATGATGCGACAGTGGCCGTAGTGGCAGGGGCAGTGACAGTTGCGGCAGCATACCCGCTGGCTACCCACATTTACAGCAACGACAGCCACACATATACACGCACACACTCACGGGAAAGCACTTACTTTAGTTATGTTTAATACACTGTAGGCGATTCTTTTGTACACTGACTTAGATGCCCCCAACTTGGCCCAAAACAATTGGCTTCGTCTACCAAAATAAACAAGTTACTTTGCTCCACTGAGCACAGATGACAACAGACAACAGACAATACTCGTATACTATACATCAGCAATGAGGGTGATAATGATGATGCCATCATCATGATGGCGTTAAGTTGTTGAATTTGATTTCATTTGGCATGCTAAGCTTTTGTTTTTGCTGCCGTTGCCCCAGAGGCAGCGGGCGGGCATGGACATCTAAGGGCGACCGGATCAATTGACACTGTACACTCGTAAATCAGTGGGCGATTGGCTTCAGTTTGCTGTTCATTAATCCGCATAGAGCGCGACTGGTCTGCTGTTTATTTAGCATTACCACCAGCCTCCAATGGGTCTGCGTCTTAGTACACAACACGAAAAATACATAGAAATACACGATTTTAGATAAAAGAAAACGCCCTGCGGCACAACAAATGGGCGTCACTTTAAACGAATTGAACAAAACTAATTCTTAAAGGTTGCCCAGCAATGCATAGTATTTCCTTTTATTGGAAAAATCCAGCGTACACACATAAGCCATCTTTTTGGAAATTTTGGTGTCTCTAGCTCTTATAGTCTCTGAGATGCAGGTGTTCATACGGTCGGACGGACGGACGGACGGACGGGCAGACAAAGATCGACTCGTCTTGATCAAGAAGATATATACTTTATGGGGTTACATGTTTCACCTTCCGCAAACCTAATATACTCTTCTACATTTCATGTAGAGTATAAATATATTTCTTAGGCACAAACTGCCCCAGATTTGCACAAACCTAGAGTTGGAGTTAGAGTCTTGAAAAAATAGAAACAGCAGTGATTTTTCTTAAGGCGGCAATTGAAGCTGGCTAACGCTAACGCAATTTTTAATCGGATCTTTGTTGTTGTATAATGATTTTTGTAGGTTATTTGATGGGGGTGGAATCGGGTGGATGGGTGTTTAGCTTGGAGTAGATAAATATTAACATCTGACGACAATTGTCCAGGTCCACTGTTGTTCTTTTAGTCGCTCTCGTCCTGGGGCTGAGCCCTCTTGCCCTTTTTCAATGGTTTCTTCGCTGGCTTTGCGCGGCGCTTCTTGGCACCACGAGCTTTGGCTGCATTGCTGCCAGCATTCGCCTGGAACTGTCTCATGGCACGATCGTAAGCATTCTTGGCCTTGGCTGCCTTTGCCACCCACACAGACTTGTCCTTCATTGCGCGCCAGAGTTCGCCAGCGCGCTTCGCGACCTCAGTAACCGTAATGCCAGGATTCTCGCGCTTGATTGACTCGCGTGCGCTCTGCAGAAACAGCATGTAAGCAGATAGTGGGCGTTTTGGTTTGTCGGCCATATTATATTTGTGTTTTGTACGTTTTGTGATGTTAGTGAGAAAATTTTCTATAATATAAGCGTTAAGTATTGTTGAAAATTTCGAGCGTAAATGATTGAAAATATTCAGCTAGCTGCGATACACCAAATTTGTTTTAATATCGTTAAAGAAAAGCGAACAGTGTCCTGCATGAATTTAGGTCGAACTAAAATGCGCGACAACAAATCAACACTTTCAAAAAGATAGAAAAGTTACATTGGTTTCTCACGCTACTAACGTACACACTTTGTAATTATATTAGCATGTATTATTTAATCATGCTTCTGTCATGATGGATGCGGCATGATTTGACCCGAGTGCCTACTCAAGGAACGAACTTATATTGGGAGATTCCCACTATCTCACTGAGCTAAGCCAGGCGTCCCTAATATATTATTGAAATCAAATTCTTTATATACGGTTTTTGCAAAGTGAAAAATGTAAAACATACTACATATTCTTGATCAGCATGACACGACAGGTCGACTTAGCCATATCTGTCCGTCCGTATGAACACCTAGATCTCAGAGACTGTAAGAGCCAGAGACAAGAAATGTTGTGCACGAGTGCCTTAAATATATTTGTACGCAGTACGAGATTTTTTCCAAAAACCGCCCCCAAACCCCTCCTCTATTGGTGATTTTCCATAGCTCACAGATCAACGAGATAGTCTTCGAAGTGCAAGGCGAAATACTTCAAGTGCTGATTTGAATCGTGCAGCGTTTCTATACGCACCTTTCGTTTGCATTGGTCTATTGGACGTAGTTTGCGAGCATTCTGTGGTATTCAAGGTAATTTATGTTGAAGATGAAATGCTCATTTTCTACTAGTATGATAAAACATGAGATTTTAAATCAGTAATACTGACTCTCGAAAAAGTTGTTGGTTGATGTGGTCGGGTTATACGAATGAGCGTTAAGTATTGTTTCACAAAATCAAAGTAGTAATTTTGTTCATATATAGAACACAAATCCTTTAATATGTGAATATATTTGTAACATTTCGTTACCAGCTAAGTTTCTATATACAAGTATTAAGTTATTTGTATGGATCTAAAGAAATAATTATTGTTTTTCAAATTGTAGACAAATTACGTATTCATCGTGATAGATAGTCTTTTAATGGGCCTATTTATGAATGGCAGTCAATTAATTAGAGCCAGCATTTTCAGTGGAAACACGAACCGCATTCAGAAAATAAGCTTGAAATGCAATTTGCTTTTATGGAGTTGGCAAATGCAAATGTATGGCAGCAGCAACAACAATTTTGTCGTATATGCTAATGACTACTACACAGCAGATGGTCATGTTGCAATGTTGAACAAATGATTGGGGCTCTCACGTTTCCTGTGTAGGCACAAATTGTAGAGCCGCAAACCCTCGGGCAATGGACGTGTAATTAAACTCATTACCCAAACCAAATAACAAAAGTGCTGCTACATGTATGTGAGTGGGTATGGGTGTGTGTGTGAGTGTGTTTGTGCAGTTCAAATAAATATGCGCAAAACAAACAAACTCAGTCCGTACGCGTCACTCGACCTGCAAACATTTCAAATTTAAGTAGCTGCAAATTAATTAATTTCCATTTGAATTATGCAGGTAAACAAATAGCAGTGGGCGAGTGCGACGAAACGAAACTGGTGGGAAGGGGAGTCGAGCGAAGGGAAGTGAAAAGTGAAAACACAACAAGCCAGGGCACATTTAAATAAATATGTTAAATTGCAATGAGGGTTTGAAGTGTGGCGGCGGCTCTCGAGCGCAAAAGCGCAACAAAGGCCAAATGCGCAGCACGAATAAAAAGTCTACAACAGGTTACTATTTTTAACTGATTGTTTTTACGGTCTACGCTATTTTTATTTCGCATTTTTTTCTATATATGTATATATATATTTTTTGTTTCTTTCTATTTTTCCATCCAATTTTAAATTAATTTCATGGGGCCGCCGCTGCCGGGCAAGAAAAACGTCAAAATTTTTGTGCGCGCTCAAAAACTGTAGCATACTTTTGTGCGGTTTGATTTATTTGCGAGCAACGCAAAAAGCGAAAAGCAAACACAGCAGCGCGCTGCGACTGAAATTGTTCAAAAAATTCTGCTGCCGCTGCTGCTGCTGCTACTGCATGGTAGTGGTGGTGTTATTGCGGTGCAGGGAAGCTCCTCTGTATGTGTATGAGTGTGTGTGTGTGTGTGTGTGTGTTGGAAAATTAAGTGAGCGTAAACTGTGTTCGAAATGCGAAACGCGGCCGCCGTCGTAGCCGCAGCCAAAAACACGCCAGCAAGCATACTACTGTCTATGTGTGCGAGTTCCTGTGTGTGTGTGTGTGTGTGTGAGTGAGGGCGAAATTGCACGCAAATAGCCAAATTAAAATGGCGCACAGTGCACGGAAAAAACGCAGCAAATGGTTAAGAAAAACTGCACACTCCCCATAAAAAGCAGCCCAAGCAGAGATGGGCGCGTGCCACAAGCACGCAGTTAATACAAAACTTATCGACACAAAAGTAAAGTTTCAGAAACTCTGAAATATTTTGTAATCAATCGCTTTTAACAAAACTTTTTATAACTAAACAGCTATGGATATTAGATTCCTCATTACAGATATGTAACTGAAGCAAAAACGATTTCCCAAAACTATGCGAAATATTTCACGCTTATAGCAAATTCGCAGACAATAGTTTCAGACAATTACGACAAATATTAGTGTCTAAAAAGTTCTTAAAAATTAAAAACCAATTTACAGTTACAAAAGAGGGAACAGAACCAATTTTTAATGTCATAATAGCAGAGAATACTAGAGTTAGATAGTAGATAGAGAACATTAAATCCATGCAAAATATGCTTTGGAATATAGTTTGTGCTAACGAACGTCTAAACTGGTCAACATAAATATAAGACCATGCCTACTTAATGTAAGTGTATAAATTATACATTATAGCTTATCGTATTAATTATTCATTTGGCAGGCAAAGGGCAGAAAAGAAACAAAACGAATTTAGTAAATAAACGCCAACTGAATGGAGTGCATGGCCGCAAGGAACCGTTGTTTCCCTTTGTATTTATAGAGATTATCTGTTAATACAGATTTCATCTTTAAGTTTTGGAAGAAACCAGTTTCTCGCAATGTCTTCCACAGCCTCTAAGCTACAATAAATATATACAAGTATGTTGTGCAAGCAAAAAGTAAGTGGAAGTGAAAAAATGTATTCAGTTTTATTTGAAAATCTTTTGTAAATACAAGTAGGATGCTACCAACTACAAAACCTTACATTCATTTTAATATAGCACCACAATATATATGAACTATAATGTAAGTGACTGTTGGGCTATTGCATGAAATGAAGCGAACAAATGGCTACAAAAGAAGGCTATAATGCGTGCATCCCATCCCTTTTTAAGCCACACCAGCAACCTCAAATCGATATATAGAGAGCTGAATTGAAAATAAAAATTGATTTCAACAGAAACAAAAACCTTTACAAATGAATGAAAATCCAGCCAAAAAGTATTAAACATTCATGAAAGGAATGGCATTCGGAAAAACATGCTCGTACTTCAAAAGAACTCAAAGGCACTTGCCTTTGCACTATTATTATTATTATTATTAAACTCAGAGGGCTCTTTAAAAGGTAATTACTATATAATTCTTGATCTGTGTTAAGCATTGAGCCACGCAAAATGGAAAAATTCATATTTCTATCATCATTTTTTTGTTTGTTGAAAAAAAAAGGGAACATCACTTAACTTCACTTTTTGTGAAAACAATTATCAGTTAATACCAATAGTTAATGCATCCCTCTGAAAAATTAAAATAAGGCCCAGTCCGCCAAATGTTTTTTCAAAGCTGTTGCCTTTTGGCTTTTTTTAAAAACTACTTGTAATTAAGAAACGGGGAGACGACTCTCGAATATCCCTTAACCATTCTGTTCGATCGTTGGTTAAACATTCTAAAGCAATTCATAAACGTTTATTTCGTTCTGGTAACAAGAAAGATGTGGAAACTTTTCATCACAAATAAACAGACTGCTTGTTTGTTTGTTTCCCTCTGTTTGCTTATTATTGAAGCCAATTCAGAACTCGAGTCAGCTAAAGAAAAAGTGTCATCCATGTGTACACATTAGAAGCTAGAAAAGTATAAAATCGATTGGCTTGGCACATTTTTTAGTTCTCTAAGCTGAGATCTATTTGTATGATGTATTTACGGTAGTTATATTTATTGATTCAGGCACAGTTTGCACGCCACTTAACGCTCTATGGATTTCCTGATCATAGTTAAGCTGCAAGACTGGCTGTGACTCACGTTTGCCAGCCACTCATCTCTAAACCCACTTGCAATTTACTTGCCATGCTGCATTTTTGGACACGTTCGTGGCACCTTCACGTTCGCCTTCATCAATTTCCAGTTACGGCCAGTGGAGCCAACAGTTTGCAGTTTTCAGTTTTCAGTTCGCAAGTTCGCTGTTCGCAAGCGCTTGACATTAATGGCCAAAAACTGGTTGGCTGGCAGCGCTGGTGCTGTTGCCGCTGTCGGGATTGGGATTCGTTAGTGGTGCCCCCACACCTGCCCACACGCACAAACTTACGCACAGTTCAAGGCTATTGATGCCACACAACGTCGCAGTGGCAAACACGAAGTGGTGCAGTGGTGAGCTGATGGTGGCCTGGTGGTGGGCTGAGTGTACATATGCAGATGGGATTGGAAATTGTGTGTACGTGTCGCTGTGGGCGTTGCTCGTCTACGTGTGCAGAAAAGCTGTGCACCAGCTCTGCTTGTGGTTGTTGTCGTGATGGTTGTTGTTGCTGTCACACTGTTTCGACGACGACGCAGACGAGGACGACAGAAACCTGTGCCATGTCAACACCAAAATGCAAGTCAAGTCAAGTCCAGGCATGCGTCTGTCGCTGCCTCAGAGCAGTAAGCGCATTATGAATATATGTACATGTGTGTGTGTGTGTGTCCGTGTGTGTGTTTTCGTGTGCATGTGTGGCGCTTGTGTAAACAATCATAACAACAAACAAACATAACGATACTAGCGCGTCACTCCACACATGCAATTTTCCTTTACTTTGACGTTTTTCTAGCTCCAACCTGCCGCATCCTTAGTCTCAGTTATGGCACAAATATGACGTATACGCCACCTGGTCGGCCCTGTTGGCGTTGCACAGCTTGATTCTGCTTACGTTGCCAGTTACCAGTTGGCTATTGGTTGATGGTTGCTGGTTGTTGGCAGTTTCAAGTTTACTTGCAGTGTGCCAAGCAGTTAATGGACGGATTTTCGGGCTAGTTGTTTGCTCTCTGGTTTATTTTTGGGGCTCATCAATGGCTCTGGCGTTGCTTTGTAGCCAGCAGATTGGTCCGAGATTTTGCGCACACGTTGCACTTGTGCCTGTTTTTGAAAGTGGCCGGCCCTACCTAACTTGGCCCTAATGTGCAAGCCATGCGCATGCATGTCACTCACATTGCCAATGGATATCATTAGCAAACGAACGCCACTGATATTCCCTTCACACAAACACACGCACACACACACACAAGTTGGAAGTGCTGCTTACTGTTCAACACGAATTCTTTGCTCCACTTATGGCCTTATTTGACTAGACTGATTACTGAACTTAAGGCCAAATGCTGCAGCAAAAAACGCAGTTCCTGAATAACTAAACTATTTTCACTCCAAATCGAGCACATTTCGCCATAAAGCTAAAATTCTTTTTTATTCCCAGAGAAAGTACAGTCTATTTTAAAGACATAGCGCGCCAGAAACAATCAAATTATATAAAAAAGAACGCTATATAAATAATGTCTGTTAAAATATCTGCGGACTGAGAGAACTTAAAATATATATGTCTAAGCAGTCCTTAGATGTGCGGGCAGATTCAGTGTGAATTCGTTCTTTTTTTTTAAATTCCACTCCCAGGCATACATGTGCATACTTTTGAAAATTATCGCTAAGGCCTCTGCTGCTTCATAATGTTTCTCTTTGGACTCTAAATTATGAATTTACGCATGCATTTTCTATAAAAGTTTACAAATTTTTATGAAATAATTAAATCTGTAACTCATGCTAATTATTTTGTATGCCCCGTGTCTGAAAGTCTAATCAAATTTGTGTTAGTCAAATGTGTGTAAAAGGCAAAAGGACCCCACAGCAAGAAGAGACGAATCGACATATATGTACATGTCTCTCGTCAGCAAGTCCGTCTGTATGAACGCCAATAACTTTTGAACAATAACAGCTAGAGACACCAAACTTGGCATGTGGACTTGTCTTATGCATATGTAGACTAAGATTTTTTCAAAACCTAAATAACATAAATATTTTGTATAGCTTCCATCGAAAATCAGTCTTCGTAGGATAACTTTATTTTTATAGCTCTTGTGGGAACGATGCATACACAAGAAATTTTAGCTGATGGACGACTGTGGAGCGAGGATAGTTTAATGTTTAACTAGTTAGTATTATTTTACAAAAATGTCCTTAATGTCCTGATTTGTGAAATGTATGTAGGATACATATGTACATACATAATTAGTATAATTATAAAAAGAAAATGCCAACGAAAAGTGAACCAAAGCAAATGCCTTTCCTTCCCTTCCCTTCATTTTCATGTCAACTTTCGTATGCTAATATTGTAGATATAATCTGAATACTGTTGACTCAAAAAAGTAGGACAAAAAAAAAAAGAAAAACAATGTGCGCAAAATGCGGTTGGTTTTTTTTTTTTGGCTTTTTGTGTTTTTTGTTTTCGTTCGCATTCCTTCAGAGCAATACTGCTGTTCGTCAGCCGTCATAATGCCGCAGTCCCAACAGAATCGGCATCGACATCGACATCGGCACTGGCGCTTCAATTATGCATGCTCGTATTATCATGGCATTTAATTTTATTATGCATTTCTCTCTCTGGTTCGCCTCTTTTATTTTTTGTTTCTTCTTTTTTTTTTTTTGGCTAGCTCTGGCTGTCAAAAACATGAAATCAAAAACATGCCCACATAAATTAAGCTTAATAAATAAATTAACATAATTATGCATGCATGAGGAATACATGTACATGCATGCACATAAAAATCTATTTAAATATATACGAAAATTGTATATGCATATGGCGTAGTTGTATTTGTAAGTGTGTGTGTGTGTGTGTGTGTGTGTGTGTGTGACAAACACAACGTGGCGTATAAATTGTTGGCTGACAGATGCGATGATGGCAAATAAAATGCAAATGAAAAACCAATACGATACTTTATACAATTTATATAATATGCATACATACATACATATGTGTATGAATATAGATATGTATGTATGTATTATATTTGTACATGTATAGGTGTGTGAGTGTGTGTGTGTCCCTGCATATGCATGACCGTATAATTTGATTTATGTTGTGGCAAAATAACAGCAGCACCAGCACCAGCAGCAGCAGCAGCAGCAGAACCAGAAGCAACCACCGCCACCACCACAACCAACAACAGCAACAACAACTAAACAACAACAAGAGCAACAACGTCGGCGGCAGGCTACAAATTTGCATGTCAAAATCAAATGCGACAATTTTGACGTTTCGCATGGCTCATTATACATATATGATGACGATGACGGGCATGCCCAAAGGGTTGTGTCGCTGCCATGGGCAGTGGCATCCACATCTGGTTGTCGCTGAGTGTGTTTGTGTGTGTGTGTGTGTGAGACGGGCCTCTATGTGGCGCCCGTTTGTGGCGCACAATGACGTATGTTGTGCGATAGCCAAACTAATTTGTCGATTTATCATTATTCGCATTGAAGTGCATCAATTATCGATAAATACAATTGCAATTGATTGATATGGCCTGTCAAATAGAAATATATACATACATCGCATAGGCACAGATCCATACGTACATACACACGAGTGTACATTCAAACATTTAAAAATAAATGAAATTGACAAATCCAACTCATACACGACGAACACATTAAAATAGTTAATAAACAAGCGATCGACATGAGCGAAGAACGGAGTGCAAAAAGGGCAGAAATTGGGACACCCTCGCCACCAAACAAGCGCCAGCGTTTATCCAATGGTGACACCACCATTGCAGGACTCCACCAGAACTCCAGTGATGACGAAGATGACGGCAGGACATGCTCGATATGCTTCGAGTCGTGGGAAACGTCCGGCGAGCATCGACTCGTCTCACTCCGCTGTGGCCATCTGTTCGGCGAAAACTGCATAAGGCGCTGGCTGACGGAGAGCATGCACAACTCAGGTGTGCGGGTCTGCCCTAAATGCAAAAAGGAGGCGTTTAATCGAGACATACGCTACCTCTACGCTAGCAGTTTGCGAGCTATTGATCGCAGCGAGGAGCATCGCTTGCGCAACGAGCTAGATGCGGAAAAGCGTCGCACACAATCCCTAACTACCGAGTTAGCTGCCGTACAAATGGCCGGCGGAGGTCGGGGTGCGTTTACCGAGGCAGTAGCAGGCGACCTGAGCCGCAAGCCACTGGAGCTGCTGCCCAAGTACAGGCTGCATATGGAGAAGAACTTTGAAATAACACGTGAGCAGGGTTGTCGAGTCCTGCTCTATTCGTCCCAGCATTCCACTCTGGTTGCTTCGCAGAAGAGCTCTTGCTCGCAGAGTCTGTTTCCCGGCTACGGGATGCGCTTCATCGATCCGCCCACCTTCAAGCCGCTACATTTTCTACCCACTTCGGATATGCAGGTGCGCGATGTTTCCTTCAGTGCCGATCAGAATATGTTGGCCGTAGCCAGTCGTGAGACGCGCGTTAAAATTTTCGATATACGTACGCGTCAATGCAGCGCCGTCTTCTCGACGAACGATAAAATGCTTTGGTCCTGCGCCATGGGTCGCAATGAGCGCGAGCATATTCTATATGTGGGAGACTTTATAGGCGTTACCTACGTTTATGATGTGCGCTCTCCCGGCACAACGCTCAATGGCTTGATAGCTGGTGATTGCCTAAGCCCTGTGATGGATATAGCATCGGTGCCGGCAAACAAGACTTTCTGCAACGGTGGCTTTCTGGTCTGCCAATTTACACAGCTCATCTTCTATGAGTACATTAATGAGACGCCTGTGCCGTCCCGCATCAACATTGAGGGTCCATTTTCATCCATGCACTACGACGTGTCTCAGGACACGCTGCTGATTTCAGTGCGCTCCAATCGCCAATATCCGCAATCACGTTTTATTCTTGGTAAACTTGTCAAGATCGATGGATCGATGGTGTTTGAAATAAAGGCAACTATCTTTGGCGATAAGGCCACTCCAGTCATGACCCGGGCCACCCAGCTGGGCGTTGAGTCGAATACATTGGTCGCTGGCTATCTGCAGGACAGCAAACAGCTGATATTGCACGATGTGCGGCGTGAGGAGCGCGTCCAGACGTTGCCAGTGAATGAAGTGGTCTACGATATTTGTCCTGTGAGCACGCCAAATGGTTCCTATCTGGCAGCTTTGACAGACAACAAAATCCAAATATACACAATTTACTCCTCGGGGGGAATTAAGTTACACAATTTTCTGTGAAAATGAGCGTGACACATTTTCTGTTGTAATAAGTTGATCAAATTATTCGTTAGAATGTTAAACTGTTTATTATGAAATTAAAAAATATTGCAAATACGTTCTTTTTCATATACATGGAGGGCGGCAAACATTTGAGCCCCAAAGTAGTAGGGCGTGGGTTGTCGAAGTCTTGCTCCAAATAAATTACACACTCTCCTTCGTATGTTTAATGCTTTATTTGTGCAACTAATATTAGGTAGGTTATGATCATTGAACACTCGTTTAACTCTACATCTTATTTTAGCACGAGCACACTCAGCACGTCTCTCTACTTCAACAACTCAACTGACACGAATGAGACAATGGTTTTTATTTACACTTAATTAAAAGCTTAAAATAAGCAAGTTAAAATGATTTGGATTGGTCTGGAACAAAAACATTTTGGCCATATATACTTGTAGGCAGGGATTTCTGCTATAAACAGAAAATAGTCTTCTTAACAGTGCTGGACGAAACATCGATGTTAAGATATTTTATTTAAACATCGTTGTTTTATTATATTTTATTTTTATTTTCGTGTTTTCTACTTTTATTGGTTTTTTGTTATATTCTTTGAGCTTGTGAAAATATCGTTTGTTTTGAAACCTTTTTTTTTGTATTAAATAAAAAACCTTCGCTTTTTAAATATGACAAATCAAAATGAAGGTTCATATGTTTAAACATCAATAAATCCTTTGTGAAAATTCGTTAGTAGAAGTTCGATGCATCGATAAACCGATGTTCATCCTCTTGAATCATCGAAACATCGATGTGGGTAAACATCGATGTTTCTCCAGCTCTACTTCTTAATATTCCATTAGTTGCAAGTTAGAGCTCGCACCTAAGAAAAGCAATTCAATGTTGTAAGAAATAACAAGCAGCTGGAGGAGAGCAAATGAAATCAATGCCTCTTGCGCCACATTTGGCTCGAGACACACATAAAAAGGCACATCTTGACTTTGTCAATCACAGCCAACAGTGTAAACAGTGGAAACAGAATCATTGAATTAACGTATTATCGATCAATTTGGCGACTCGCAAGCAGATGGCAAGCCTGACAAACACGTCGTATGCGTAACGCCATTAAATTCCCCATTACCCAATGGCAATCGGCAATGGCAAGAGATTAATTAGCATTGAAATAACAATGGAGAGTATAATATAAAAGAGAAAGACTCGCACACAATGGTAATGAAAATACAAGTTATTTAATATTGCGTATACGCAGCATATGCCGGCAAGCCATCGAGACGAGACGAAACGAGACGAGACGAGACAATGACAATGACGCTGCCGATGACAACAACTTGTCTGATTTTATTTGATGCCGCACATGTCACTTAACGCAGTCCCATATGCCACTCATAAGGCAGCCCCCCACTGCCCCCCACAGCCCTCCCATGCCACCCATTGCCACACATTGATGTAAAAGCCTATCCAAGGCTGTGCAGTGCAATGCACAATGACACTGACGCATTCGATATAATGTACTTATGGCTGAACATTTTATGAGAGTGCGTGTGTGGATACAAATTACCAAGTTACATTAGCTGCCAGCAGATTTAATTAAAAAGGGAAAAGGAAAAAGGCAAAAGCCACGATGCCCATAATGAAGGGCCAATGTCGCATGGCGGCAGCTCAATTTATGGAAGCACAAGTGTGCTGGTGTGTATAGTATGTGTGTCTGCTTGTGCGTCATGTGACAACACAAAGCGGGGACACGAAGTGAAGAATGAAAGAAAATAACAACAAATAGGATGGCAACAACAACAACAACAACAAAAAAAAACGCCAAAGAGAAAATTAATGGAAAATTAATTAAGTGTTCGTTTAATGTTGTCTCAATGTAAACGCTTTCAACGCAATGCAAATTAAATTGTTGCGCAAGCACAACAAGCCAAGCAAATACATACAAGCGCACGCACACACGCACCAACACACACTTACAAACACCCAGTAGGTCTTCTTCCTGCAGTTTTGTCGACGCACAGCAGCGACCGGTACGGGCATATGAAGTATGAAGTGTTTCAATTTGCGTATCGCTCGGATTTCTTTTCATCATCTTCTCATTTCCATTTCAGAAAATTGCATGCCTTAAGTAAGAAATACAGTAACGCTCGATTGCCTGAGAAACTTATGAAATACAGAATACAATACACTTGCTCCACCCACGATACCAATGTCAACAATAAACAACGTATTTCTGTGACGCAAAGCAACAAAAAAAATAACTTACAGACATTAAATATATACACAGATCCACCTTCAATAAAAGGCAATACTGCTGTAAAAGTATAATCCGAAATAGATAAATAATCTTTGTAATTACCTTGCAAATTGTCTTATATACTTGTATTTATTTATTTATTTTGATTTTTATTTTATTTATTTATTTCATCGACAAACAATGCAGTCGATGTATAAGAAAAAGAAAACAAAAAATCAATACAAAAGATAACTTAAACTAAAATAAAGCTATAGGAATAAAAAGCCTATAAAAATGACATAAATATCTAATAATATTAAGCAGTTGGTTTACTTTTTTCTTTACGGTTGTCCTGCTTAGAAAAAAATTTGCAAAATTGTGATCACTTTTTCGACAGCTTCTAAAAAGATGAATGGCACAAAGCTCGTACCCGTGTAGACTTGCAAAAATTAATTATTAATTACCATTACGAAAGGGATATTTCGGAAAAAGCTGAAAATTCACAAACAACAATTCAAGCAATAATAATTAATTATAAAAATAACGGCTCGATAAAAGATTAAGGCGGAAAAATTGCGAAACTGTCACCCACAACCGAACATTGGATTTTGCAGAAAATTAAAAAGAATACCCAATCAACGGCCGCGGAAATAGCAACGAAAGTTTGGATTCCAATGCTCACAGGACAAACCATAATAAATTTCTCACTTAAAGAATCTCACGTAAGAAACCATACATCAGTGAGAAAAACAAACTCATACGTCTGAGTCTCGCCAAAGCGTATGTTAATATGAAAATACTTGTATACGACTATTTGCAAGGTAATTTCAAAGATTTAACATACAAGTTCGCAAAAGTATAAAGAATATGTTTATTTGCTCCTTAAAATATAATGCAAAAAACGAGCTCACTTGTCGCCAAATCTTTTTAGCAGACCATTTAATAATTCAGCTAGAGGAAACGATAATTGGCTATCGTTTATAATTTTTCTCTTAAATACCTACAAATTTCAAAAATATTAATAACTCTATTGGGACATTTTTCGAACTTGCATTAGTCGATTTCTTTTTAAAATGAAGTTATATACTTTCAAAAATATTTTTAATAATATTAAAACTTTTTCAAGCTCATCGGAATGCATGAAGATATATATAGTTAAAACCAAGAAAAAGTATTCGCGTAAAAGAAAGAAGATTTTACTGATGGAACTTCTTTACTCTTGATGCTCATATTATTTTATGTGGGGATAGCTGATTGGAAACTCATCGGAAAGCATGAAGATATATAGTTAAAAGCAAGAAAAAGTATTCGCGTAAAAGAAAGAAGGCTTTACTGAGGGAACTTTATTACTTTCGAAGCGATCGATCGATCTATATTTGTTTTTACCATTATTTATTTTTTTGGAATAACTGCTTGGAAATGAAAATCTAGTGCAGTTTTAGCACAGCTACGACTATGTACTTCCGACTGGGTATACGTGTCTTTAAACACATAGCCCCAAGTCAAGCGCGTATTCCTATGGCTCTCATCGTTGTTCGCTGTTGTTGGTGTTGTTTGCTTTTGTGCTTCTGCCACCTTCTGATTTATTGCTTTTTGTACTGTACTGGTACTGTACGTTGTTGCCACCCAAAGCCCAGACTACTCCAGACTACCCCACCTGTGCACCCGTTTTTGCGAGGAATACTGCTGTTGCATTTTGAGTGGCCACTTCAACGTTAGCTTGCCCGTTAAATTACATTTGCCTGCCAATGTTGTGGGGAGTGGAGGGGAGGCCGACCACGTGGCGTATGCGCAATCTCGGCCACAGCAGCCATCCAACAACCGCACCGCGCCAGCATTTTTAATATCAATGTAAATGCAAAAGTGAATGCAAATAGCAATTTTCATGCGGCTTCAATTCAATCAACAGCGCATTATGGCATACGAATGGGGCACGTGCCACATCAACCGATATAAGCAGCCGTAGCCGCAGCCGCAAGCAGGAACTTGCAAGTCTGAGTTGCCTCAAGAAAGGGGCATTCAATGCAATTTTCTGTTACGTTTCTCTCTCTCTCTCTCTCTCTCTCTCTCTCTCTCTCTCTCTGTTGCTTTGGGGAAACCTTTTAAGCCAACTTTCCGCCAAATGCGAGTCTTTACTGTACCAACAGCATCTGAATATGCACTTACCTTCTTGCAGTAATCAAGCAAATCCATTTTATCACGCAAACATGTGGCGCCCGTTGTCTTCTTGCTCAGATCCGTAACCCAGCGTCCCTCCTCCGATAGATATTGCGGCTGATAGATTTGGCCAGCCTCGCAGAGCACGGCGATTTGTGGTTCCCAGCGCGGGGAGGCGGCCTGTTCGAATGAAAGCAAAGGGGAAACAATAGATATAGATTGTTGCAGATGCATCTTACAAATTGAATACGAGTGCGCGCTTAAGCTCCTCGTTTGTCAAATGGCAAATACGTATAAGTAGTTGCATTGTTAAACTCTCAAATCGGAAATTAACACGTACAGTACAGTACAGTACAGTTATTATTATTATTTTGTTTGTCTTTGCTTTAAGCCCCAAACACTTTGATCTAAATGGAAAATATCCACGTATTTGAAAATTCCAACCAATGGCATTGCACTCGACTGCCAGGTTATTAATAATTGATTCGAAATACTTAATCTAAGTATGTGTGTGTGTGTGCCCTTTTAATGAAATGAGCATTTAAGTACACATTTATTGGCAATTATTGCATATTTTAATTGGGGATAAGCGATTCAAAGCTCTTGAAATGCATTTCAAGCGTCTCTAGACTCTAGGCAGAAAGATTTTACATTTCATTCTTGTAACGAAAATCATGAATAAAAAACAACCTTCTATTAGTTGAAGCACTCAAAAGATTTATAAACTTAGCAAAAGCATAATTGAAATTATATGTGAAAATTAATGAAATAATTGTTAAACTAAATCTAAACATAAGACTCCATCCAATTATTTCCAAGTTGCTTATATGTACTTGTATAACGAGTTTATTTTATGAGACTAGTGGCTCAATGTTTATTTACTTATTTATATTTATGCCAACAAACATTGACTGTCCAGATAGAAAAATAAAATATAAAAATTATTTGAAAAAACCATATGAGCTAGGAAAGCCTAAGTAGGAGATGTCTAATCAAATTACAATAATATCTAATTTGAATATTATTTATAAAAGAAGTTAAGTTAAAAGTTAATAATAAAGTGTATTTATTGCTAAATGCAGGCAGTAAGTGGCTGCTAAATGACTTCAAACAATACGTCTGCCTAGCTCTATAGAAAAAAATTAAATGGTACCTGAAACAAAATATAAAACCAATGAAATATCCGGCTTTAAGGTCCACAAATGCGAACATAATGAGCTCAACTCTTTCACCTTTTCAATTATATTTTCTTTATTTACAATAAACTTATGCCTAGCGCTGCAACTAACTTTATGTTGCATATAATTTATTGCATGAACAACAATTAGCGGACAGGAAAAGTCGATTCTAATAAAAATAAAATCAATCTAAAATTCTATGTTCTATATTTTATATAAGCATTGAATCCGTGAATACAGGTTTAGCACCTTAACAATACATTTTAACAAATATAAATAGCCTGAAATTCAATCTAAAAGTCGTTAACTTCAACCAAAAAATAATTTTGATTAATGAAGCTGTTTTAAAATTTTTGCGCCCGCTAAACACTTTTAAATACATGTACTCGTATAGTTATTGCTGTTGCTTAGACTTCGAAGTCGACTCGACGGCAATTAGAAGCCTCTACTGATTTCGTCTTTTCTCACTTCTCCTGCTTTTTCTTTTCCATTTTTAGCGGAGAAAGACATTGAGTTGGGCAGTTGGCAGAATTGTTTCGATTATCTGGCACAGACATACGAGTAGAGTGTGCATTGATTTGCTTAAAGAAGCTGCTTGTGGAGAGGAAGAATATCAGAAAATCATAGAAATACTGAGATATTTTGTGTATAAGTAGTATAAGGGCGAATGCTTAATATTCCTCAATGTATTGTGTGTGTGTATACGTATACTTAATGCAATACAAAGGCACGCACGTACATATGCGCATACTTATGTTAAGACACATATTAAGGCACGAAATGGCATCGGGGCAGACATTAATCATACGCCACATTGTGCGCCATTAGGCAGGGCGCCGTTTGCGGGCGTGCCTGGGAGATAAAAAATGATGCCCGATGCATACGCACATACTTATCTAAACGAGTGTATACACGCACACATGCACACACACACACACACACACACACACATACTCTGACACACCCTAAAAGCCGAAACAGCTTTCTATGATTAGACAGCATCGCCTGCTTGAGATGTCAAACCAAAGAACTGTTTACACAATACACACGTTTCGTTGTCAGGGGGGCTGAAAATGATTGGAAAGGCGTTTAAAGAAGAAAACTAGTTTCTATTTGGGAATGAAAAGCTTTACTAAGTATATCAAAGCAAATTATAGCATGTTGTGTGAAAATGAAACAAAATTCAATTTAAAGAAACGAAAACAATGTGCAAATTGTTTTATTTACAAAACAAATGTCAGTATTTATGCAAGCATTACAAATCATTAAATATTTTCATCGCCTATTATAGTTTTAAGCTATTTATAATAAATAAATAATAGTACATAAATGATGCATAATCCTATTTTGATTAAAAAAAATTCATTTCGAGGCAAAACAATGTATAAAAATTGCAATAATGAATTTGAATATGCAACGAAAGATCCTAAGAGCATGATTGTGGATTGTACTCTGTAGGTTCTTATGGCTTTCACCGCATTTTTGCAGAGTAGCTTTCATCAGTCTGTGATAGATTATATATCAAATATATTTTATATATTATATATTTTTGCGAGAATGTAGGCGCGAGTTATTAACTTACATGTGTTTTAAGACCCTTTATGTTAAGTTTCTGGTCAAAAGTCAGCTGATTGTCCAGGGTAATGAGTCATAAAACATTTTTGATTTCTGCATATACGAGTATGCACAATATTACACTTTCTTCATATTTTTCTAAACATACTCATGCCCTCTCTTATTAAGATAAGCCCATTTTGTAAGCACATGCCAGCTAAGCCTTTACTTGAAACTTCTAATGCACTGCTTTAAGCTGAAGTCAGTGTACAAGAAGACTTTGATTTAAAAGTTCTTTCAAAATGAAGTTACGAAACCCAAAGTGTTTGGCTTTTAACTTTTTGGCACTCGACAAAGAAGTCGTAGCTATCAAAAAGGGATACCAATGGATGACGAGGAAGCCCTACTCCGATAAACCTTTCACATGACCGTATCAACTATTATTTTTGATAATGATTGCACAATAATTTTGTTGTGTCTTTTATTTTTCTAAAAATTATTGCAGTGTTAGCATATTTTAAGACAATAGTTAATAGTTCAGTTTTTCAAATGCTATTGTTTTTTGGGCAACTGTTTATGGGGAGTCCTGCGCGTCACTACGACTTCTAATAATATCACATTTTCAACTGACTACCCAGCGTTCGATCTAGAGTTCGTCAGACGCCATGGTGCATCTATTGTGTCTGAAAGCAGCTTATTTTTAAAAGATCAGTTAATGCTCATCTAAGTGCCAGGCAAGTCGGCCCGCAATAATCCCTACGAATGTTAAATGAGCTTCTTTTTTTTGTATATTAACATCAGCACATTTCTTAAAACGAATGCCTGATAAATGCAAAATATAATCCCTGGAAATCAATCAACATATTGTTAATTTTTTCGATACGATTTGGATTTTGAATGCTCGCTTGTGTACCTTTTGGCAATTTCTCCGTTGTCGTTTCAAATGAATTTCCGCTCGCTACTTGATAGGAAACAATACGCTGCTGATTACAATCGCATTCAAATCTTTGGAAACACACACACTCTGACACAGACACAGACACACACACTCATACACACTGACATTTATGCCAAGCAATGTCCCTTTCTTTTGGGTGAGCGAGAAGTAAGCTTTTGATGTTTATAATGATGCTTTTAGCGTTTATGTGTATATATACTTATATGGCATATACATACATATATACATATAAACATTTATATATATATAATCTAAATATAAGTAGAAGACATTTGTGTCGACGCCGCTTTGCTTTTTGTGCGCTTTTGTGCGTCATCAGAGAATGGCACAAATCTCAACTTAAGCTGTCGATATGGCGCTCCTCACACATACTCGTACGCGTGTCTGTGTGTGTTTGGGAAAAACAATGAGAACAACAACAATCGAAAGGACATAGATACATATGTATCTGTATGTATGTCTCGTACTATATACGAGTATACTCGTATGTAGTTTAAAAAGAGTGTTGCGGATGCATAAGCAAGCCGGCTGCCACTACTCATCCAAACTCAAATCCAACTACAATGACAAGTTCCGAGTATCTAATAGTATTCTGTGCTTTTTTTGTTTTTTTCTTTTTCTTCTAACGCTTGTTACTTGCCAACTAATTGCAGTTTGTAAGCTGTGAGCGTTTGCTTGGATTGCTTGTCATTACAATTTTCCAGGCAATGGCCATTCGTTTTGTTTTTTTTTTTTGCGCTTTTCTCGTTCGTTGTTGATCATTGTTTGGCTTACATTTCATTCTTTTTCCTTTCAACAAACGAAAAACAGACAGACACACAGACCCACTCACACCTATCTGGACAGATATAGATATAGATTGCCTGCAGTCATACAATTCCGATATTCTATTCACACACACACACACACACACAGACAGACACACGTTTGCATATTATTGCATTTGGCTTTTAAGGCATTTTCAAACCAACCAACAAAAGGGCACAAAACAAAAAAGAAGAGCAATCAGCCTAAATGTGGGTCTCTATATATGTCTGTTCAAGCTTTGACAGCCAGTTATGAAGTTCTGCAAAGCACAGACAGAATTGGTTTGAATGTATTTGTGATTTTCAATCATCACCGAATAAAAGTGCCGAATACGAATATTGAAGAAATTATTCCTTCGCATAGATTGAAGGCATCAATTGAAAGCTTTCAGTTCACTCGAGCCGAACATTTCATGTCTGCTTGGGCTTTGTTTCCATTGAGTTGAGAGTTGGGAGAAAAATTAAGTTCTAAAAATAATGCCAATTGCGTACAAATACACCCATTGAATTAAAAGCCGGCTTCATTCGAAAACTCAGCCCACATAATACTTTTCACATACAATAGAAGCGCTTAAGTACACAAAAATATTAATTGAACTGCAAATACATTTCAAAATCGAGGTCGATTGAAAGCAAATGTTGATTCGACGACAGTCGTACAATATATTCATATAATATATTTTT